TTGTATGTATAATGTCTGTATGTAATGTAGTATGTGCAGGTGTGATGAAAGCTATAAATGAATGCGCTGTTTTCTCTCTTTTTTTTTTTATCCTTTTTGCCACTCTTCCCTCCCTCTCCTCTCCTCTCCTCTTTCGTCCTTCCCTCTTTTTTTGTTTCTTGTTTTCTTTCCCTTGTTCTTGTTTTTACTTCTTTTACTTCTTTTACTTCTTTTTCTTCTTTTCTCTTACATTTTGTTCGTTCCTGGCAGCTGGCATCCTATAACCCATCATTCATCTTTTATCTTCATCACCCTCGCCAACACTCTCATAAACACACCTTTCCTCCTTTTTCACACCTCATACACTCTTGCACATACACTCGACCCTCACTCTCGTCCACGCTACACGTTATCATTTGCACACACAGACGCATTTCATTCATTCATTCATTCATTCATTCATTCATTCACATCACCCCTTTATCTCTTCTTTTTAGTTTCTTCTTCCTCCTCTTCATTATATTACATATCTACAATCGACCCGCCACCCACATCATCACGCTATCAAAACCATCTCTCATACTCCCACCCATCCACACCTTCCTCTTCAGCCAACTCATACACACTTCCACCAACAACACAACAGCAAGAAAAAAAAAGAAAGCCTTTCCTTTTCCATCCTCACTCAGGACAGACCATCGGACAAAAGCACAAACCTGAAAAGGCATTCACGCTCGACGATCCTTCAAACCCGTGTTTCCAACCACGCTACTTTCGACAACCACAACCTCTCACGTCGCCAAGTAGCCCTTGTACAAAGTACCGACACACGCTTTTCTCAGTCCCAAAACAACAATTTCCGACTCTCTCTCTTTCTCGCCTTCCATCTGTGGGTACGTAGCTCTTCCAATGTTCACTTATTACCCCCGCTCATCAACAATCAACAACAGCACAGGAGAAACATAAACTACCACAAAACCTGGCCTCTCTCTTTCACACCTTCTGTAACAACCAGAGAGAGGAAGAGCGACAAGATCTTTCTCTTCTTCCTTTTGTGCGTTCCCATTGCTTGCCTCCTTTGTGCGCTATTGCTTCATTATCACGTTGCCCCGTTTAGCACCGTTAAAACTCTGCGCACTTTTTTCATCCCTCCATTATCGATGGCATCCCTGACATCGTCTTCTCCCTACAGCTCCCGTGCCTTTCGCTCTCTCTTTTTTCTTCGCTTTGGTCGATTTGTCGATCTTTTCTCTCTCTGTACATTATAGTTGTAATTTAGATTACTTATCACATCGCATCCCACATCGTTACTTTCTGCCATTCACTTTGCCCCCTCGGCCGTCCTTCCCAACAACCATCCCCATATATCGCGTGGAATCCATCTCTTTCTCTCCTCTCCACTTACCCTCGTTTCCTTTTCACTCTTCCTTCCTCCATCTCTCGTCAGTCCTCTTCCTTCTCCATCCCCTACTTTCGGATGTGCTCACTCATACTCCTATTTGTCCTGACCAAAGAGGCGCACCGTTTGAATTGTTTTTCTTTCTTTTCTGTGATAACCCCGTTGTCCCCTCTTCACACACACTCTTCCTCTTTCCTAATTCATTATATTCCGCTGTGGCAAACCAAAAACAGCAACAAATGAAAAACAGGGGGCAGAGGACGAGGGATCGACTCTGTTGTACTGTTGAATTATATTGTTCAATTGGCTTCACCTTCGCGTTTGTTGTCATTGTACGACACGGTCGGCGTGCGTGAACGTTGTAGCAGATTCCTTTTTCTTTCTTGTTGACACCAACCCGCAACGTTCATATTTCGCTCACTAGTCTCCTGCTTCTTTTATTTTATTTCTGTGCTATTCCTTCTTTCGCTCTTTGTCTCTTGTATTCATTACCGATCTACTGCGCCTGTGAACAATACCATCGACAGCCTTTCTCCTCTGATCTTTCAAGACATCAAAGCTGACACCTACCCTTTCCTTTTTCCTTCTCCCTCTCTCATTGACTTCACCATCTATAATGATAAGCAGCAGAAATACATTGTTTTACAGCAACAAGGCAATCGACCAAGAAAGAGAACGAACGAAGAACAAAGAAAAAGGTACGGTTTTGTCACTTTCTCGCCCTTGCAACAGCCCTGATCAACAAACAAGAGACGTTGAGGACAGCCTATCAAAATCGCCGAATTTTATTTTGTTCTGAGACAAAGAAACATCCACATCATCACCATCACCCATCAACACACATCCATCGAATCAACACACCACCTATCACATATCACCTCTTCACTCTTTTTTTCTTCTCTCTCCTTCTTTCCCTCTGCTCCGTTTGCTCCACTTTGTCTTTTTTCATCTTTCTTGCCCACGCTTTCTATACACTTGCTTCTTGCTGTTTCTTTCCGGTCTTGACTCCGTCTGGTCTGCGGAATAATTTTTTTGTGAATTTTTGTCACCTGGAGTCATCGTCATTCTTTTCTTTTTTCGGATCCTCTTTCTCTTCACTCCCACGCAGACTTGTCCATCGATACATCGATGAAGATACGAAAATGAGAGACAAACAGTCAGAGGGTGCGAATGAAAGAGGGAAGGAGAAATATGAACAAGAGGCGGGAAAGAAAAACGTGAGCGAGTGAGTGGGAAGAGAGAGAGAGAGGGAGAGGGAGAGAGTGAGGCAGGATGCAATTGACACCCACACGACAGAATGAGTAGGGATCAAGAGTAGAGAGAAGGAGAAAAGAAGGAGCTCACTTTATTTTATTTGGCGAGTTGATCGGATGTGGGATCGATCGCCTCTCCCTCTCTCTTTCTTTTTTCCTCCTTCCCTCCTCATTTCATTGATTCATTCATTCACTCCTTGTCCCTCGAGACAGCCATCCGGGGAAAACAATCAAGAAAGTCAACTAAATGGAAGATCCTCAGATTTCTCCTTTTTTCATTCTTCTTTGCGGCATTAAACAACACCCATATTCGTTTCTCATTCTTGCTCGTCTTTGTTGTTTGTGTATGTTTTGTTATTGTTTTGAACGAAACGGAAGAAACATAACACAAACAACCAAGTCAATTGACCAGTCTCTGGTATGAAGGGCACCCTCTTGTTACTTTAGTGTTTGTCTTGTTCTGTGAGAGAACGGCGAATGTGGGAGTGTGGGGTCTGTCAGGCACTGGGAAACAAAGAGTCAGAGATATCAGACATCGCTATCAGGGGCCGGTAATGTAGCGGCATTTTCATAGCACTAAGTATCCACACTCAACAGCTCAACACACACCTTCCATTCTTCCACAACTATGACACACATGTGTGCATACGCACACATGCACACATCCACACACAGAGAGAGATCAATGATCCCTCGTATTTCTTTATGGCAGTGCCAGTGCATCGACAATAGAGACAAAGAGGAGCATGGAGCAGATGTCCTTCTCCCACAAGCAACAACAAATGCAGGCAAAGAAGGTTTATGGGGTTTGACTGGGCTTTCTACTCCTCCACCGTCTTCCACTCCGCGGTGGTTGTTTATTCCTGCTTCCCTTTTCTTATTGTGACGACGACCATGGAGGAAGGGAGAGAGAGAAAGAGACACAAGGACATGACATGCATGCATGGCTGGCTTCCATCCCTCGCTCTTCCCTTCTTCTACTCGTCCAATCTGCAAACAGGAGGGCTCATTCTTTTTCCTCGGTCATATTTTCTCCTTTTTCCTCCCTTTTCTCCTTCCATCGTCGCTCCCTTCATCTCTCGTGGTGGGTGGTGGTTGTGATGATTTGAGTGATTTGAGAGGTGGCCGCCCTGCTTCCCATCCATATTTGTACGGCTATTAGTTTACTCAACTGACCAACCTTATGAACAAAAAAGAGGGGCGTGGGTCATGGTTAGCCGTTTTTTCTTGTGTTATATTTGATGCCAATTGCATTAGAGCGCATCCCCTCTTCTCGCTGTTTGTTTTTGCTTTTGCGTGGTTGGTGTGTTCGGATAGACGGGTATATGTTTGTTGTGCCATGCGAACAAAAACGCGCAAAAAAAACAAGCTACTTGTTAAACTTCTGGTCATGGTTGGTTCAGGCGGGTGTTGTTTTTTCTTCTTTGCTTGTGTGGATGGATTGTTTCTTTCGAAGCATGCATTGGGCTATTTTCCTTCTCTTTGTTTGTTCCCTCCCATCCTCCCTTCTCTTCTCTCTTTCACTCTGCATTATCCCTTCTGTCCTGACTGGTGAATTAGGTTGGTCATCAAGAGGCCAACTTGTCTATCAAGATGGAAGAGATGGACCTTGCGTTGTCCATATCTCTCTCAACCTCCACCCTCGTCTATGGTGTCCAGCATTAGCATCTTTTTTTGCTTGTTGCTTCTTTCCATTCATTCTTCCATGGTCCCCTCCCCTTCTCACCTCTTGTCCTCTCCTCTTGTCACTCGGATCGAGTCTATTTTAACATAAGCCTTCCATTTTTTGATACCAGCAAACTAACCATCTTATTAATTCATTTTCTCCTTCCTTCGTTCTTCTCACGTCCACCTTCTGCACCCAATCTATCCACTCTTCCACCTCTTCCTCTACACTTCTTTCAACTTTCTTTCACTTCTGCACCATGATCCCCTACTTCTGACTCGTACGTAGCCCTGCGGAGAAAAATACCTCAATCGTCCAAGGAGAATTTCTTTCTGGTCCTTTTTTTTATTCCGAGCCTTGTCCACCATCCGCGGTACATAAAACAATCCCCTCCCCCCCACCGCCCAACCCAATAGCGCCCTCAACCCCTGTTCTTCCCCTTCTTTTCTTTCACTCGTTCTCACCTGCAACACCCCTGACTCTTTTCTCTGGAATAGCTCTCTCGCCCCCAAAAAGAGGTCCGTCCGTCAAGTACCAACCTTTCCCTTTCGCGGCGACATTATTAAGGACCTTATTATTCTTACTCGGTCCCATTGCAAAAGCTATTACGACGTCCTCTTCTCTCTCTCACTACTGCTTCTTTCTTGAACGTCCGTTTCTGGATCCAGACGACAACAAGCCAATCAAAAAGCAATAGTCAACGATGAACTCGCCCTCCCTGGTTATCCCCTCACAGCAAACACAGCAGCAAACACAGCAACAACATCACCAGCAGTCGTCGCAGCACTTGTACAGTAACCACCAGCAGCAACAACAGCAGCAACAACAACAACCACCAACCCTTCACACACACAAGAGCTCACCCATGGGACAACAACAGAACCTGGAGCAGATTCGCGAGGAGACAGTGATGGAGACCGCGATGGATAACTTCATGGCAGGGGTCGAGTCGGGCGAATACTTTGCACAGCTCCAGCTTCAGTCACCACAACTGCCACAGGCACCTTATTCTCTCCAGTCACAATCCACCTTCGACTACCCAGGGAACAACTCTACCAACAACAACTCCAACAGTGCGATGGCTATCTCGACACCGCTACTCGCTTCACAAAGCCAGACGGTCTTTGATATGTCAGGTTCCTCTGGAGCAGCAGGAGACTCAACCACACCTACAGTTGCTTCCACTTCGCTATCGTCAGCTGGCATGATGACCTCATCCATGGATGGATCGTCTGGTTACGGAGGAGGAGGAGGATACCCTCAGTTCTCATCCAGCACCAACCCGCTCTTCTCGTCACCACCGATCAGTTCTTCTGGAGCCTTCTCTCCCACCATGCCCAACATGACCAACTATTTCACTCACCAGCCCATGACGTCGACCAACAGCCATCGCCACCAATTTTTCTCCAACAACATCATTATCCCTCCAGGTGGATCTTTACCTACCATGAGCCGCTCTCCTCACGAGGACTCACAGATGGCGGGCGACCAGGGTAGCAGCGCCTACGTGGACTCACAGGACACGAAGGCATGGCTCTGGGACTCTTATCCTACCACCAACCCAACGCCATCGGTTGAGGTCTTGATGCAGATGCAGCAACAGGAGCAACAGCAACAGCAACAACACCAGCAACAACACCAGCAACAACACCAGCAACAACACCAGCAGCAGCACCAGCAACATCAATACCAGATGAGCCAGGATCTTTCCAGCAGTAGTGGCAACTTAGCTCAACAGCAGCCGTTCATGCACAGCCAACCTCCTCCTCATCCCTTCTACCAACAACCGCAGGACCACATTCAGTCTCCGCCATTATCGGCCATTCAGCCCGGCTATACAGTCTCGTCGCCCGTGACCACCCCGCCCACGACCCCACAGCGTCACCCAAGGCTCTTCCATTCGCAATCACAGCCTGGACTGAGGAATATGCAGCAGCAGCAGCAGAAGCAACAGCTTCTTCAGCAGCAGCAACAGAACGGTCTCCGTCATCGTCAACACTCTGTCCATTTCACAGGCGGCGGCTTTGTCTCGGGAGACCTCAGCGGGATGCGGACGAATCGCCATGTCAGCCTGCCAGTAGGATCTTATAGCGCACCTATCCCTTCCTTGGCCAGTTTGTCTGAGATGATGCAGGACTCTCCTTTGGGAAGCGCTGGTGGCAACGGCCTTTATTCAACAGCAGATCCTGCGACCACCTTGGCAGAGACGACCACTTTGCTATCGATGTCGCTCCCATCAACGACCCATGGATATTCGTTCTTGGACGGCCCACCGCCACCCATGCACCACCACCATCACCATCACCACTTCTTGCCAACAAGCCCTCCTCCCTCGTCAGCTGACCTCTCAGGAACATCGACGCCCACGACACCAAAGTCTCGCTCTCGCGCCGGATCCAAATCGAGATCGCGCCCCACCTCGGCATCGTCAGTTGTCTCTGTCAGGAATGCAGGTGCGCCTTATTCGCCTTCGATTACCAACACCTCAGGACCTATCTCTGTCGCTGCCGCATCTCGTTCTCCATCGTTGGTTCCTCTCTCGCCGATCCCACCCTTCAAGCTCGGGGATGACGCCGATGCAACAAGCCCGCCTCCCAACTCTTACGACTCTGGCATGATCCTTGTCCCTGGAACCCCTGGAGCAGCTGGCAACGCCACCGGTGCTACACCATCTGGAGGAGTCACAGGGACGACAGCTGGAGGAAAGGCTAGACGGATCTCGAGGACCAAGCTCCCCTCAAAGACACGCTCCCGGTCTAGTACACTTACGGCGTCGAACGCTGGTAGTGGGTTGATTGCAGGATCGCCTGCTGAGGCAGCTACTGGCTTGGCGACGAGCCCTTTTTCGATGGTTCTCTCTGAGCAGGAAGAGGCGGATCTTCAGGGACTGGCGGATGCTTCTGCAGATTCCCTTCAGCATCACCACCTTCAGCGCCAACACCAGCTACAGCAACTCCATGTGAAGTCGGGCATTGAGCTCACACCGGGTGGGTCTCAACCAGGTGACGATATCGACCCCTTCCAGCTCGATACAACCGTTCAACACCAGCAGTACCAGCACTTGGATCCCGCTATGCTGAACATGTCGTCAGCCTTGAATGACCCAGACGGTGGATTGGATGAAGACCTTGAAGACGACGATGGCATGGACGAGGATGGTGCAGGACTAGGCGAGGATGGCTCTAGCACTCCAGGAGCCGAAGAGTCATCGTCTTCCGCCAACACCAACCCCACCGGCAAGCCCATCCCCTGCCCAATCCCAAGCTGCTCCAAGACCTTTGCTCGGCCCTTCAACTTGAATGCCCACGTCAAGTCCCACGATGTCCTCAAGCCCTATGGCTGCCATCTCTGCAGCCGCGTCTTTTCGCGCAAGCACGATCTCCAACGGCATATCCGAGTCCACACTGGTTCAAAGCCCTATGTCTGCGTGAATTGTCAAAAGGCGTTTGCCAGAACCGATGCCCTGTGTCGGCATTACAAGTGCGAGGAAGCCTGTCGGGAGTTTATGCAGCAGGATGAAGTCCGGAAGCAGGCTCAGCAGAACGTCCAGCATTCGTTGCACCAGGAACAGATTGAGCTCCAACAAGCTCAGCAGGCGTTTGCGTTGGCCAGGCAGCAGGAGGCTGAGGCTCGAGCTGCGGCTGCGGCTGCGGGAGGGTATGCCCTGGAAGCGGTTGCTGAGGATGTAGCACCCCGGACAGGCGCGGATGTGGTGGATGAGTTGAGCATCAAGAGTATCATCAAGATCGAGCAGCAGCAACAACAGCAGCCGAAGTTGAGACGCACTTCTACGATCACTTCGTTGTCCGCCGCAGCCATGGATTCGAAGGCTGTCACTACTTCCACCACCACAATAATTTCTTCGTCTGCTGGTGTAGATGGGTCTGTGAAGGCAGAGAGCCAACAGGACTAATAACGTTTATTTCTCGTAACTGTTACGAACTGAGGGTTTTTTTTTCACTTTCACTTTTTCATTATATTTTCCACCTTTGATGAGTACATGGACAAGCCCACCCTTTTATGACCACACCAAGAACACAACACACATTTTTTTTGCACAGTACAACACCTTACATAGAACAAACAAACAAACAAACAAAAAAGGGCGCGCTTCTATCGTTTTTTTAATCGAAAAAAAGAAGTAATAAAATGCAGCGACACCAATGTACAGAACTACATTCGCGTAACAGAAACGGTGCAGAATCGGGTCATGACTGGGATAGACTAGACTTGATTAAGGATGGGACAGGGTATGAGCGTGATCTGAAGGAGATCCAGGTTTAGAGGTTGTGAAGTATGCGTGAGCTAAGGGGCCGGAGGAGGAACAAGGACCGACGGCTATGCTCAGGAGTTTCGTCGAGTCAACGTGGACGAAGAGGTGGGTGAGTGGATTGGTGAGTGTTGGAGATGGGTTTTAAGGAAAGATGAAAAATGAAAGCGAGAGAAAGGCACAAGGGAGAACAAGGGAGTTTTCAATCTTCCCTCCCCTTCTTCCCCTATTAACCTGTTTCTAAGAGGAATGTATGTCCAACGGCAAGGGGTGAATGCACCACCCTTAATACACTACTGTTAACCCTTCTCATTTCTATCCACACTTTGCTCGTTCATGTGTCGACAAAAATCACCTCACAAAATGACAACAGCAGACCCCCTTCTCCTAGATGCAACTCCCACCACCCACTTCCAAGCATTCCGCGACCCCTACAACAACGACAACACTGACAACGGCGATCCACAACAGGAACACATCCTGATCCCGGTGGTTCGACATCCGATCACGAATGACCTGTATGTCATCTGGGGTGACATCACAGACTGTTTCCCAGAGGTGTTGAGGGTGCAGTTCAAGAACGTGTTTGTCCCTATGCTGCGAGGCGATAACCTCTACAGGTACACACATACCCCTTTTTGTAACCAGGTTGATTTTTTCGTACTCTGCTTTGACGCGTTCAAAATACACCCCGGACCAAAGACAGGAATGATATTGACAGATCTTATGGTTTCACGTCGTTTTTAGGGTGAAGCCGTTCGGGATCAGGTACCACCCTGAGATCGTGTTGGATGTTGTTTACAGGAAGAAGCCATCATCGCTGTCGCTCAGCAGGAAGAGCAGGTCACGTAGTGGCCAGATTGAAGACGCCAAGGTAGCAGCGGCAGAGCGCCGCGCTACTGTTGCAGCGAAGGACGCGCCTAACCAGGACGCGGATGCTGCTGTCGCTGTCGGAGATGCGCTTAACCAGGACACGGATGCGGGTCTCGATGGCCCAGACAAGAAGGGCAATGACAGGGACAAGAATGATGGTGACAGCGAGAACAAGTTTGTAGAAGGAGAACGAGAGCCTGCCGTCGAGGAGCAGGATGCTTACGCTGTCGGACCGGATACTATGCTGCACGAGAGCGCCAAGAAATCAACAGAACAATCAGCAAAACAAGCAACAAAGCAGTCAACAGAGCAAGCGGTTCTCCCATCCGTGCCCGATCTACTTCCAATAATAGAGAAGGAGGTGGTAGGGATAGAGGAAGAAGAAGAAAAAGAGGAGTTGCAAGAGCATGAGAAGACGCAGCAGCAGGAGGAGCAAGAGGAACAGGAAGAGCGGAACCGGGACCAGGAGAAAGAGCAGAATCACGTCTCAGAGCAAGCGGAAACGCCCCGATCCATTCAATGGGTACCGAAGGATCTCGTCCGCCGGGAGACGCCATTCACAATCGAGGAGTTGATCAAGCATCGCGCCAAGTACTTTTTTACGGCTCGGTACTCTTGGGCTAATTGCAGCAGCCATTCGAGGCTCTTTTTCTTCCTTCCTGTCTTGACCGACGTTCCTACACAAACAGGAGCAGCATCAACCCCAGAAATCCACAACTACACCAAATTTCAGCTCTACTACCTCTGCGACTGTAGCGGCATCCCAGGCGCAAAAGAACACGCCAACCCTCACTGGATCAACAATAATAACAACAAATACAACAATATTATACGCAGTAAGCCTTCAGCCATGGACATCAGTCAGAGTCAACTCCGAGAACTCATTCCTTTAGTTGGAGACTACACAATGACAGTCCTTGAGATGTTCAAGTACGGTGTCTACGTCGACAAGGTGCCCGAGGAAGTTGCTCAGCGTGTGTCATTGGCGATCAAGTATCTGGCGTCGAAAGGAGTTTGGTCGTGCGAAGGATTCATCACCGAGATGTCGTCGGACTACATAAACGCTGTCGCTGAACCGATGATGATCCGACTGTCGCCTATTTCTCTATTGGACGTTTCGGCATTGGACGAGCTAAGGAGCAAGCTTGTTCGAGACCCCAGTGGTCAATATGCTGACCTGTACCCTTTCCGGACCGCGGAGGGCGATGTACGGTGGACATGCGGGCGTCATTGGATGAGCCTGTGGTCGGATATGGCGGTTTACGCGAGAGCCATCACTTTTCATCAGGAGCCAGGGTCTCCCGAGGGCTGGTATTCGCCTCTTCATGGCGTTCTGTGCTCTCGGATTACGACTCTGGAGAGAGCGCTGGAGTTTTTCGAGCTGGCAGCGGAGATACCTCGGAACCCTGTGTTTACAGTCTGGCTGGATTGGGACATGACGCTGGAGGAAGAGGGTGAACTTTCCCGGGCGATCGGTCGACTCTCTGCCGCAGCAGTCCACATCCTCCTTCGGGGTAAGGGTGCCCCTCAGGACAAGATCGATGCAGGAACGGCATTTGGACGATTGGAGCTGACGACGGCGGCTTTGCAGAACCCTGGTATCGAGATGTTCACTCTAACGGAGGCCGACCTTGGACTCGCGTACAATTACAAGGAGTTCACCGCGACGACTTATCACCAGTCGTACAGACCGAAAGCAGGAGAACGAATCACCGCTGTGGAGCGTGGAGAGAAGGGCGGGCTGATGGCGGTAACAGTGAAGAGCGTGGATGTGGATCTTGCCATTGCTGTGATGCGCCGAATTGCCGGAGGACTCCATCGCTTTTCGGAGTTGCGCTTCGAACATGGCCACTCTCATCTTGTCGTCAAGTTTATGGACCTCGGGGGAGGAGACAATCTGGGCTACAATGGCGAGGAAGACACGGACGTTACCAGTGGTGACATGCACTCGTTTTTGGACAGGCGAGGGTGGCGCGATCAAGTACTTTGCTTTACGCAATTTGAGCCTTGCGAAATGTTCTTCCACCTATCGTATCTCGCCGAGGTGCATATGTGGTATTTCAGCGAGGGACAGAGGACCGAGGTGCGTGATCTGATTGTGCTCAACAAGCACCTGAAGTGCCTCTACCTGGAAAGCAAGATTCCCGATTTCGATCCAAGTCAAGCCTATGAGACCTGCAAGCAATCCCTCTCTGACCATCGCACCATCGAGTTGTTCCAGATCACCAGTCCTAAGGGAAATGAACCAAAGTGCTCGTCATTCGCATGGAGGAACCCCAACGATCTGGACAAGATGCGCGTGGATATCACATGCAATCGAGCAGATCATGTCGAGGCGATGTTCCAGAGGTATGCGCCTCTGATTGACCAACTTGAGGTTGGCGGCCTCAGTTTGACGGATGCGATGGCGATGGATAAGCTGGCAAGACGCAAGAAGAGACCGTTTTCTCCCACGAGCATTTACCTCTGGAATATCCATCTGATTGAGCCTGCCGTCCGCGAGATTCTTGAGGAGGTCATCGTCAACGGAGCGATGGAAGAGGTTATCATGCGTGGGTCGGTCACTTCTCAGGTCGCGCAGCTGCAGACGGATGGGAAGATGGACTGGATGTCGCACCCGGTCAAGTTGAAGGCGAACGTCAAGATCTGGTCCGAGTTTTTGGTGGCGATCCGGTCCAAGGTGACAGGCCTTTTTGTGGAGGACGACCCTCAGAAGCACTTTCTCCGGGCGATGGAGTCGCAGCCTGCCATGTCGCTGGAGATGCCTCAGTTGACATTGTTCCAGCTCACATGTTCGATGGAATCGCATCTTTTCGACAGACTCTGGCTGGACATGCTTCTCGAGTTCAAGGGTCCGGCAGTCAAGGATATCGTCGTCACGGATGATGCTTCGCCCAGAGAATTTGCACTTGGGATCTTGGCGCGGAGAAACGAGACGGTGGCGATGCTTCCTATCTCGAATTTGTGTCTGTTGTCGGTCATGATGACTCCCGAGGATTGGAGCCGTTTCCTTCGATACTTGGATATGTCGCAGATGGTGCAATTTGCGGTGAGCCAATCGAATGCGATGTCAAGGGCGACACTGCTCCAAATTGCCGATGCTGTTCCGCTTGAGAGTGAAGTGTTGCAGAGATTTTGTCTGAGGTCGAAGTATTCCAATGACACGGATACCACTGCAGCTCTGGAGGCGAAGTTCGGGCCAAAGAGTTCCAAACGTGCAAGGCCGAATATCGACCTCAACGGCTTCAATCTCTAGAGTGTCTTCTGCTGTTGTTCTTTTGAGTAGCAGTTGAGTAAATCAGTTTTGCATTCTTATCTTTTCTTGTATGCATATGTTGCCAAGTAAGGATCATTGCCGTGACTGTGATTTCGATCAACAACAGAGCTCTGTTTTTCTTTGTATCGAACCTCTGTCAACCAAGAGTTCAAACAGCCAACAGCCAACACAGACACACCTCCAACACTTCCATGGCCCAAGCCGACTCCAACTCGACCTCCGAGTTCGGCACCGACGCCCACTTCCAGGCATTCCGCGCTCCCGACGAAAAAGAACTTATCCTCATCCCTGTCTCGTTACACCCAACCTTGAATGAGCTCTATGTCATTTGGTCTGACATCGCCAACTGTTTTCCAGAGACCAGACGAATTCAGTTCAGGAATGTATATGTTCCCTTGTTGAGGGATACCCGACTCTACAGGTATAGCTTGGATTATTTTTGGTTTTGTTTTCCTCAGACTACTTGACAGAAAGGGAGAGGAGGATAGTAGTGAATCAAGTTCAAACGGTCGACCTTAATATTTTATCATTACAATTATAACTTGTGGTGGATAATGAATAGGGTGAAACCACATGGGATCAAGTATCACCCAGGCATCGTGCTGGATATCGTCTACGGGAAGAGACCTTCATCAGCGAACATTGACGTCAACAATAACAACGGCAAGACGAACAGGATCAGTGATACCCAGGACACCAGTGTCAAGATCGAGGATCATTTTGCTGGAGCGACGCCGCCTGATCAGGATCGGAGTAGCAATGGCCAAGCCAAGAAGGAAGAGAGCCTCGGTGATTATGTCGGAGGGGAGGCTGTAGCAAGGGTTCAGGATAGGGCTGTTGATGGTGAGCGAGAGGAGAAACGCAAGGGCAACGACGAAGGCGACTGTGCGGACGAGGAGTCAGAGACACAGGTCGAGGAACAGGAGGAGGACAGTACAGTCGGAACGGATGCCATGTCAGACGACAGTGCCACACAATCAACACAACAATCAACGAAGCACCAAACAGAACAGTTCAAAGAACAGCCAGGAGCACGGACAATAGAGTACCCAATAGAGCAGGCAACCCGACCGGCGACCAAGCAGGCGACACTCACATCTGCACCCAATCTACCTCCAGCCATGGACAGCGAGAAGGCGAAAATCAAGGAAGGTTCATCACCAGTGCAGGAGTTACCGGTCGTCCACACCCGTCGGAAACTGCCATTCACTATCGAGGACGTGGTCAAGCATCGCGTCAAGGATATCCTCAAGGCGCGGTACTCCTGGACTCAACATTGCGGTCACTCGAGGTTCTTCTGCTTCCTTCCCAGGGTCATGCCAACACCGACAGGAGAAGTGGCCGCTCCTGGAATCCAAAGCAACACCGATTTTGAGTTTTTCGACCTCTGTGATTGCGCGGATGTTCCTGGATCCAAGGGCGATTGGAAACCTCACTGGATCGGCAAAAAGATTAACGACTCATTCTATCCAGTTTCGGCAGAGGACCTCAGTCAGGATCAGGTCCGTGGCCTCCTTCCTCTGGTGGGGGACTACGTGATGGGAGTGCTCGAGATGCTCGAATACGGCATCTACATCGACAAGATTCCTCAGGATGTTGCTTACAGAATCTCCTCTGCGATCGAGTACCTGGAGTCGAAAGGCGTTCGGTCATGCGAGCGATTTATGGCAGAGTTGGCATCTTCTGACCCTGCAGTTGCCATTTCCGAGTCCATGCTGGAACAACTACCACCCATCGCTGCACTGGACGAGAAGGCTTTGGTCGAGCTCAAGGACAGGCTCGAGCGATACTATAACGAGGATGAATACTCTGACCTGTACCCTTTTAGGACGTCAGAAGGCGACATCCGACGGATGTGTGAGACTCACTGGAAGAGCATGTGGTTGGACAAGGAGCTGGAAGATACACTTGAGGATTTTCACGACAACTCAATGTCGATCGAGAGCCGCTATGAACCCCTCTTTGGGATTTGGAGTATGCGGGTGAAGAACCTGCAAAGGGCGCTGGAGTATTTCAAGTTATCGGAGAAGGTGACATGGATGCCTGTGTTTACGATCTGGCTGGATTGGGATTTGACGGAGAAGGATGAGGAGCAGCTTGCTCAGGCGGTCGATCTACTTACAGCAGCGGTGTTCCATGTGCTTGCTCGACGCAGAGAGGTGACGCGGGAGGACATCAGACTGGGATTCGGCTGTGGATATTCGCTATTGATCGGATCGGCCTTGGAGAATCCGAACATCGAGACGTTCTCTTTGTCGACGCAAGAGCCCAACACCGAGTACGACTATCATGAGTATGGCGAGGGATTCGACACGCTCCAGATGTATGAGCCAAGATCTCAAGACCGGATCGCGATGGTGGAACGCGGAGTGAAGGGTGCCAAGATGAAGGCGATGTTGATGGCGTCCGACATGGATCTTGCGCTCGAGACGGTGCCTGGGCTCGTTGGTGGATATGGTCGCTTTTCGGAGTTGCGCATAGGATTGATCGCCACCCACCCGGACCATATCACGATCAAGGTTGCAGAGTCCAGTGCCCAGGAGGATACGACCATCACCAGAGGTGACTTGGTTTCGTTCTTTGAGAGGCGACAGTGGCGTGACGAGATCAGCATTGTGTCCAACCTCCAATTCGAACGCAACGCTTTCCTTGCAGGCTATCTGACTGTGGCAACCTTCCAGGTGTTGCTATTGAAGAGTGGGCCCGCCATCCGATCATTGATCACGCTCAATAAGCACCTCAAGTCCCTTACTCTGGAGAGCTTGTCGCCTATCTACAACCCAAGTCAAGCCTATGAAACCTGCAAGCAGCCCCTTTTCGACCATCCAACCATCGAGTTGTTCAGGATTACTTGTCCTAATGAAGTACCGAGGCCTTCGACATTCGCATGGAGGAACCCCAACGACCCGGACAGGATGCGCGTGGATATTTTCTGCTGTCGAGCAGACGATGTGGAGGCGATGTTCCAACGGTATGCGCCTCTGATTGATCGGCTTGAGGTGGAGTGGCTCAGCTCAACGGATGCGGTGGCTTTGGAGAAGATGGCGAGGCGCAAGAAGAGGCCGCTTGCACCCAAGTACATGTCTATCAAGGATGTCCATTTGCTGGAGCCAGCTGTTCGTACAATCCTTCAGGAAGTTATTGCCAAGGGAACGATGGAGAGTGTAGTAGTCCAAGGAACAATCATGCCTCAGGTGGGGGTTCTGCGGAATGGTGCGAAGGAGGACGTGTCTAAACTTGCGGTCAGGCTGGAGGCAAACGTCAAGATTTGGGCGCAGTTTTTGGGGGCGATCCGGTGCAAGGTGACCGAGTTGACTGTGCAGGACGGCGCAAAGAAGCAGTTCCTTAAGGAGATGGAGTTGCAGATCCCCATGCTGCCGGACATGCCTCGATTGAAGAAGCTTCATCTCTCATGTGCAGCAGCAGAACTGAATCTGTTCAAAATGCCCTGGCTCCGGCTGCTGCTCCTGTACAAAGGTCCCAAGCCTCAAGAGGTCGACCCGTCCATGAGGGATCCTTTCAGAACACACGCCCTGAATGTCTTTGCACAGAGGAGCCAGTTACCGGATCTGCGTGCGATTACCGACGTGCGGCTGAGGGAAGTGACGATGGGCGCAGAGGATTGGAAACAGTTCCTTCCGATGGTGGAGTTCTCGCAGGTGGTCAAGTTTGAGGTCCACCAGAAGAACGTGTTGCCGAAGGAGACGCTGCTGCAGATTGCCGATTTTGTTCCGATAGGCAGTCCGGTGTTGAAGAGCTTTGTTGTGATCGACGGCAAGGGCACGGACGACGACACCTCTGCGGCTCTGGAGGCCAAGTTTGGGCCTCCAAAGCTTGATGGCGTCGAGCGGGCGTTTATCAACCTCAACTGGTTCATTATTTAAATGCCTTTTTTTTTTTTTTTTTTTTTTCTTTGTAGCGTATACTTCTTTTTTTTTTAATTTTATTACAGCAACTTTTGTGGTTAATAGAAAGTGCTTTGTCTCACTGCAGGTTGTTTAGTATGTCTAGTAAGGTGAAAAGCATGCAGGTGGACAGCCTCACTTGCTCTTCCAGCTGTATGGCACATGTGGCATCCTGCACGTGATTATGGCGTTTGAGCCAAACTTTTTTTTTTTTTGGTGTTTTCGAGCATGTTCAGCGAAAGAAACGCCTCTCTTCCTTTCTCTCTTCCACCCCACCTGTCATGACCCACGCCGACTCTGGGAACGCCGACACCCACTACCAGGCATTCCGCGTGCCAAGCGAAAAGGAAGTCATCTTCTTCCCCGTCTTCCAACATCCGATTACCAAAGACCTCTATGTCATCTGGTCCGACATCACAAACTGTTTTCCGGAGGCGACTAGGATTCAGTTCAGAAATGTCTACGTCCCCATGCTGAGGGACTCCCGACTCCACAGGTTGGTTTTATCTTTTGGTTGAAGTTATCGTCAATTTGTATGGAGAAGGGGGAGTTGTTGATCAAGGAAAGAAGAGCACAGTAAGGTTAATGATCTTACTGATTTTGCAATGATTAGGGTCAAGCCGTTCGGGATCAAATACCACCCCGGAGTCGTGCTGGATATCATCTTTGGAAAGAGGCCAACCGGCAGGAAGTATCGGAGCAGCAGAGAACACCAGAGTATTAACTCCAGTATTGACTATCCTGCAGCTGCAGCGGTCGCTGTTGGAGAGGTGCCTGGCCAGAGTGCGGATCATTCTGCAGGAGACAAGAATGGCAAGGATGATGTCGGCGATCGTGCCGGAGGAGAGGGAGAGGCAGAGGCAAAGATGACGGAGGACCAGGAAGACAGGGCAGTTGGACTGGATTCCATGTTGAAGGGGAGCACCGATCAGGCGGCTCTCGTGTCCGTGCCCAATATATCCCCGGCATCGGACAGAGAGGTACTGGAGAAGGGAGAAGGGGCGCCCGAGCAGGAGGAGGACTTGACGACGAAGGAGCAAAAGGAGGAACAGGAACGAGAACGGGAAGAGAAGGAGGAGCAGGGGCAGGATGTGACCACACCATACGCGCAAGCGATGCCAGTCGGTAATGTTCGTCCGGATCTACCATTCACTATCGAGGACTTGATCAGGCATCGTGTCAAGAATATCATGGAGGCTCGGTACTCCTGGGCTCAGTGCAGCGGTCACTCGAGATTCTTTGTCCTCCTTCCCGTCCTAGAGAGCAACCTACGTCCACCAGGAGCTGCCTCAACATCATCTACAGCAACGACACCAACCACTACTGCAACGAGCTCCGTACCAGGAATTTATAACAAAACCAAATTTCAGCTCTATTTCCTCTGCGACTGTGGCGGCCTCCCAGAAGCAAAGGATAAAGCCAACCCTCATTGGATCGACAAGAACGGCAGGATACCAACCAGCTTGCCGGCAGTCAAGGACCTTAACCAACAGCAACTTCGAGCGCTCATCCCCATCGTTGGCGACTATGTGATGGGTATACTCGAGATGCTCAAGTATGGAGTCTACATAGAGCGTATTCCTCAGGACACAGCCCAGCGTGTCTCTTTGGCGATCAAGTACCTGGAGTCAAAAGGAGTGCAGTCGTGCGAAAGTCTTATCGCCGAGATATCCTCAAACCCCACTGTTCCCGCGACAGAATCGCTGCTGGACCGACTACCACCTATCGCCAGTCTGGTTGAAAAGGCATTGGACGCATTCGGGAGCAAGCTCAGTCGCGACCCTAATGGACAATACTCCGTCATGTACCCGCTTAGGACGGTGAGAGGTGACGCTCGTTGGATGTGTGGGCGTCATTGGATGAGCACATGGTCCGACGTGGCGTTGTATACAAAGGCCCTCACCTTTCACCAGGAACCAGAGTCTCCGGAGGGTTCATTCACTCCCCTCTATGGCATTTTGAGTTCTCGGATCACGACGGTGAAGAGGGCGCTGCAGTTTTTCGAGCTGGCACGGCAATTACCTCGGAATCCTGTGTTTACGGTCTGGCTGGATTGGAACTTAACGGTGAAGGATGAGGAAGAGCTTGCCCAGGCGATCGGTGGACTTTCTGCGGCAGTGGTCCATATCCTCGTTCGGGTCAGGAGCAAGCCTCAGGACGAGATCGATGCAGGAATGGCGTTCGGGCAATTGAGGTTGACGACGGCGGCTCTACGGAATTCAGATATCGAGATGTTTACGCTGACGGAGGCTGATCCTGAGGGCAAGTACAACTATCAGGATCTTCCCACAGATATGACTTATCGACAGTCGTATGGGCCGAAAGCGGGAACTCAGATCACTGTGGTTAGTCGACACGAGAGAGGCGGAAGGATGGCGGCAGCAGTGAGGGGAACCGATGCGGATCTTGCCCTTTCCACAATTCGTCGTGTCACCGGAGGGTTCCACCATTTCGCTGGCCTGCGGTTTGGACACAACGAACACCATTTGATCGTCAAGTTTGGGGGGACCAAGGAAGGAGAGATAGTTGGATCCGATGTCGAGAAGGATACGGACTTTGCCAACGGCGACATGATGTCGTTCATTGAGAAGCGGCAGTGGAAGGATGAGGTCTACTGCACGTCGGACATTGACTTTGGGGCCCAGTTCTTTCACCTTGGTTACCTGAGCAAGGTGATCATGAGGTTCTCGCGCGATAGTCATTGGGCCGAGGTGCGTGAGGTGATCGTGTCAAACAAGCACCTCAATGCCATCACGCTGGACTGCCAGATGCCCGATTTTGATCCCAGTCAGGTCTTTGAGACCTACAAGGACCTCCTGTCCGACCACCCTACCATCGAGAAGTTCCAGATCCATTCCGGGATGCACTCGGCAGAGGTCACATCCACCTTCACATGGAGGAACCCCAACGACCCGGCCAAGACACGAGTGGATATCACCTGCTGTCGATGCGACGATGTCGAAGCAATGTTCCAGCGGTATGCACCTATGATTGAGCGACTTGCATTAGAGGGGATCGACGCGACGGATGCGGCAGCCATGTTAAAGTCGATGCGACGCAAGAAGAAACCCCTTGCTCTTAAGTACCTCTCCGTCAAGGACATTCATCTGCTGGAACCTACCGTCCGCGAAATCCTACAGGAAGTTATCCTCAAGGGAGCCATGGAGGATGTGATCATTCGCGGATCGGTCACCGCTCAGGCGGGGAGGAAGGAGAGCGTGTCGAAGGCCAGGTTGATGGCGAATGTCAAGATCTGGGCCGAGTTTTTGTTTGCAGTCCGATCCAAGGTGACCGAGCTGGCCGTGCAGGACAGTCCCAAGAGACGATTGCTCCACGCGATGGAGTCGCTGCCTGCCGTATCGGTGGAGATGCCTCGGTTGACGCTATTCCATCTCACATGTGCCACTCAATCGGGCTTGCTCGAAAGTCCTTGGCTGGACATGTTTTTCAAGTACAAGGGTCCGGCGGCTCAGGAGGACAAAAATGTTTTCAAGTCTGGTGATGTTTGCTCAGCCGACGCATTGACACGGACGAGTCAGATGGCGGAAAGGAATCAGACGATCACCGATCTGCGTCTGCACGAGGGAGTGATGACACAAGAGGATTGGATCCGACTTCTTGGATACCTGGATTTCTCGCGGATGGTCAACTGTAGCGTTCAGCAAACCAATGTGTTGGCTCCGGCAACGTTACTCCAGATTGCCAATGTTGTCCTGAAGGACAGTGCAGTATTGCAATACTTTTATGTGCGTGACGGCAGAGGCGTCGATGATGATACGGCAGCGGTTTTGGAGACCATATTTGGGCCGAAGAAGGCGGACGTTGAGGGCGAGCAGGAGAGCAGCAAGCTCATTGACCTTAACGGCTTTATCCTCTAGTGTTTCACCGCCCTTTTCTTGTCTATTTTTTTATTTCGAAAGAATAAATCTCGTAACGAAAAAAAAAAGGGTCATTAAGGCCCGACATTTCGCCTAGGCTTTATTGAAAGTAATGCAGTGACAAATCGGCGAAGGCGTGTTTTAGGATGAGACGCATTCAATGATTAGCGGACGCGTAACTTTTGGTGGCGCTGTCGGTAGTGCGATTTAAGCTTTTGTTGGGCTGACCTTCAGCTCCACACCTCTTTTTTATGAGCCAAAAGTATCCGGTCCCCTCCTGTTCGGTAGGTTACCCGAAGCCTTTTCTTCCCTCACTCATTTCAATGGTACCCTATTAGTTGAGCACAACCCAAATCCAAAAAGCCCAAACACTATACACAGTCAATATACAAATAGCAAAAAGCCCACATTCCCCCCTCCTCCTTCTCTTACCCATCATCTCCCCCACCCATCACGCCCAACTTTTCTCTTTACTCGTCCTACCTCGTGAAAGGTTTGCGGTGTACAATACGAAACATAAAATAGAAATAAGGCATTTTCTCGAACATATTCATCCAACGAACCTTTTTTCTTCATGCTATGTTACAGCCCAGTTTTTTTTTTTTTTGTTTCGTTGTCGTAATTAAATCTTTTTGTTTTAAAAAAAAAAAGGTGCCAATAAAGGCATCTTGTTATTGTTGTTGTTGAACCTCTCTTTCAGTGGGGTGCAGTACGAACGAGATGCGACACGAGACAGTCAAGGTAAGAATACATCGGAGGGGATATCCGAGATCTGAGCAAAAAGAGCGGAGGCGGAGGCGAAAGCGAGAGCGAGGGCGAGAAAAAAATGCGTCATGGATCGGCGTGGAGTTAACGAAAATTGGAATTGAGAGGCGAGGGTGGGGGGGGGGGGGGTAATAGGCAGAAGGAAGGGGGTATGTCTTTGCGCGGTGCGAAATGTACTAGAAAAGACGCAGTTGGACTGTATTGTCATAAGGGAATCGTGGTTCGTCCAATTATCAGGCGCCAGCGAGAAACAACAAACTCGCTTCTATCTCCCTTTTCATCTTACGCATGTACTAGCGAGAATCACGAGAGGAAGCAACACGAAATATACGATAGGTAGGAAATGTAGTCCTCTGTGGAAATTGATAAAGAAAAGTGGGACACTAGGTCCTTTCAGTGAAAGGGCATGAAGGGGTGAATGGGAAAGAACAGTTATTGCGCGCATACATATCTTCTCATTCCTCACCGCTGTTGCGTGCGAATGGAAGAGGCGTGTTTGTGCGTGCGAAAAAAAAATGGAGAGAAGAATACCTTCCGCATACAAAAAAGTACCGGTATGTACTGTACTTTATACAGAGGAACGGAGGAAAAAGTGGGACGATAGCAGAGAGAACAATGAGGAACAAATGACAGAGGGCGATCGATGAAAATGCTTCTCTCCGCGGAAGTTCTATGGCTGTGGGCGAATAGCGACAACTGAGATACAAACAGAGGATACAAAAAGAGAAAAGATGCCGGGGCGAATTGGTTGATAGTAGAAAAGATCACACTTCTTTTCAATAACAATAACACGCAAACTCAAACTTTCGACTTTGTGTTGTGTTTTTTCTTTGTGACACCACGAAGTTTGATGATGCCTCAAACAACAATAAAGCAAAGAGAAAACTGAAGACAAAAGATAATCCATCCAATAAACAAACGAGGGCGAGTTTCACTATCATCAGAACAAACAGTAGAAAAATGGACATTTTTGTTTTGAGCCCTATTTTTTTGTTGTTTGTGTCCTTTGTGTCCTTTGTGTCTTGTCGTTTTTTGTGTCCATAGTTCGTTGTTTTTGTTTTATTTTGTGCATTCCTGCTGACTACTGCTGTAAGCTCGAAAAGGTTAACAAACAAATACAGAGAGATACATGACAGGGGACCAGCTTTTCTCTCGGTTTTTGTTTGCGCACGAAAAGTTCTTTAATGGCCCGTATCTTTAACATATTTTGCTCCATGTGCACCCTCTCGATCGCATTATACTTCAATCAATCTCGTCCTATGCTGCATGAAAGGATTGAAGAGAACGTGCGAAAGAGGAGAGATTGAGCGAAAGGAGAAATAAGTTTGAATATATATCACGACTTCGAGTCCATACGAGCTATGCAAAGAAACGAGGATCGGGTCTCGAGTTCGGAGTGGAAGTAGAATCCACTTTCTCTTGTGCATGGGGTCAAAGAGAAAGCAGGGAGGACATATGAGCGAAAACGAGAGCCTAGTTTTGCTATGCTTTGATTTTTTTTTGGGTCATTTCTGCCCGAAACTTTTCCTCCGTGCTCCTGCTGATGTTTGATATTGGCGTTTTTGGTGTTGGGGCACCAAAAATACATGCATAAAAACACAAGCTTGCAAACATCCGTATCCTTTACATGTATGTATGAGGGACTTGGAAGTAGACATGGGATGATGGTGGAAAAGATGGGAATGTGCAGATGTTAGCCTTGTTCATGGGCTGTATTTGTCTGCATGATGTCCAACTTAGCACAAGCCCCTCTCCGCTCCCTTTTACTTTCACCCTATGTCCATGTCGAAAATAAAGAGTTTGAGGCGCAAAGTCAACACTCTTTGCGCTTGGACTGAGTTTTTTTTTTTTGCCATTTTGGCGGGGATGGATACAGAACAGGAAAATCGGAACAAAACCTAAGGTGAGAACAGTCGATCAATGTTGAGAGCATGTCTCTCAACTATGCTTTTTTTGTTCTTGGTCTCATTCCTTCCATTCCGTGTATTTTCACCAATTTTTTGTGACCTCTTGTGCTTGAGTTTTTTTTACTTGAAGTGGAATGGATGGACGATGTAGTTCAAGTTCATTGACTCCTCAAAGCAGCAAACATAAACAACCATACGTGTGTAGGGAAAGAAGAGCGTAGAAGAAAGGAAAAGAAAAGAAAAGAAAAGAAAAGAAAGGAGAGGATGACAACGCATATTCCCTTGCCCCTTTCTTTTCAATGATCCGATTCAATTGAACCCGATGTATCTGTATCGATTTTGTCCAAGATATGGTCCGTTCTTTCCTTCAGTATCTTTCCCTCACCTTTTTTCCTCCCTCTCTTGGTTACTAACCAGCAGTCGCCATTTCCCCCTCTAACCACACTCCTCCCCAAAGCGGTTCCTGCACATACTACTCTGACTGACGGAGAACGTCTGGAACAATATGTCACAAGTCATGGATTTACAAGGCATGGGGCATACATATGTTGCTGGCTCATTCTCGCTTCCCCTTTCTTTTTTCTTGTCGCGTCATTTGTTCATGTCTCTTTCTCCTTAATACGGCAAGCAGTAAGGATGAATACAAGGAGACAGAAGGAGATGGTGAGCAAGAATCACAGAGCTCGTCAACCTTGGTTGACCCCAGTTTTTTATGCTCACAGGCCACAGATGTCTCATTTCTTATTGACGACCTTGTCCTGTCTCTTGTTTTTCTTGTGAACCAAAGCAGTGATTTTTGGCGAAATCAGAAATAGCGACAAGTAAAAATGAGCGTGCAAATAAAGGGGGTAGGAAAAAGATAAATAGGTAAAAGGTAGAAGTGCGCGCGATGCAAGTGTTCTTACCTTGCGCATTGTTACCAATCCTCGTCCCCCTGAATGGTGCTCTTTGGTATCAATATGCGTAATTTTCATTGTGACAAAGCAACACCCATTGCGCACAAACCTGCTTGCATTTTTTTCTTTCCCATCTCCCGCCTACGGATGTAGTACCAACCAAGTCACGCATGACCCTCGCCCTTCTTTCTTTGCCAGCTTGCTGGGAGTGAGAGAGTTGAGAAGGGAGAATGAGGCCTATGAGATCATTGAGTACACCACACACAGTACATGATACCAAAACATAAACACCAAAACAAACAAAAAGTCGCGTCAAGAATTCAATAACAATTGCATTGAATAAAGGCGAAGGTCAAAGGATGCAGGACAAATGTCCAAACACCAATGGCGCAACACAGGAACCGTGGAACCGCCTGTTTCCTGATGTTTGTGCACTTTTTTTTTTTGCATGCAGCCTGGTAAGTAAATAGGCGATGCCTCGTTGTCCAGAAACAATATATTTGTTTTTCATGGCGCCTTGCATACCTCCCGTTGTCCCTGATTGCTTTCCACATGGAACAAGACATACACTACGACAAACCGAGAGTAGAGACATCCTGGTGTCTGTGGGCACGAAAGGAGGACGTTCCATTTGGGTGTCATATGCGACTGAATGTTAGAAACATCCAAAAGGGATGCAAGTGAGGAGGGAAAGGAAAACATCACAAGGAAAAAGAATTATGAAAGGGGGGGGGGATGATGGGCGGTCGATGGCGGAATAGAAGGGAGAAGGATGAGGGAGGAAAAAAAGAAAAATAAGTGTTGAGGCTCACTTGATTACTGGCACAGTATTCAGTTGGGAGAAAAAATGGGCGGGGGCGGGTTGGGCGGGTTGTTTGGTCGGAGAAGCGATGTGTGCGGATGGATGGAGTACATGCATGCAAGTATGAGAAGGGAAGAAAGGATGTTGGGCGAATCTTTGTTTTTGACAATGCGCATTGTTTACATTATTTCCATTATCTCTAACGGACGGACACGCATTTCTAGCAAACAAATTGCACAGGTGGAAGAGGTAAAAATGGAAAGGGAACTACAGAAAGGGGGAGAGAAGGTGAAGGCAGAGAGAGATGGAGAGCAAGTGATGTCCAAACAAGAGCACGATAACAATAACACAGACACAGACACAAACACAAACATAAACATAAACATAAACACACAACAGGCAGAGGGAAACACAGATGAACAAATGGGTTGAGAGACCATCACTGACACCAACATCAGTCAGCAACAACAACGAAGCAAAGACAAGTAAACAAACAGAGACAACAATGCACAGAGCTGGGCCCCACTTCTCTCCTCTTTTGTGTTTTTATCTCCACCCTTTCCTTTTTTTCCTTTTCTTCCTTTTCTTCCTTTTCTTCCGCGCCACTTTTCCTTTTCACACATCTTTCCC